AAAGAAAGAAAAACTACCACTTTGAACGTTGTGCCAACGTCCAATATGCTTTGTCGGCAGTGTCTAAGAGTGCTATTTCCCCGCGTTCTCACCGATCCAAAGTATTGTCAAACATTAGACATATGCCAGTGTGAAAGAGAAAAATATATAATTCAATGTAGTTATTTACACTTCTGTTCTTAGGAATGAAGCTAAATATTTTAAAATCTGAAGCTTTTTTGTCATGGTTTTTCTACACTTTTCTATTGAGTCTTTTATTGTCCTGTGTTCATTTATTGGAACTTCTCATATTTTTAAGATTTTTTTGTCAAAATCAAAACTTTTTAGTGGTCATATTTAAGAAACCTTTCCATATTTCAATATGAATTCATAAAAGTGAAGCCGAGGTACTGTAATGACTCCACTTTCATGTTTAGGTATTTAGTCTTTTGATTTTTTTGTGTGATGTTCTTTTTTAAGTGAGCTTGTGATGTGACACTCAGGAAAAATTAATGGGATCAACTTATAACCATTCTTCATATAGTCACTTTATCCTGGGAATTACCGTTTTACCTGTGATTCTTTTATCTGGCAAATATTTATTAGAAACTACTACTTTTCAGGCATTGAACTCAGTGGTACATGCAGAGATAAATCAATTATAAACCTTTAAGACAGGTGAATCCTGACCATACAAAAAATAATAAAGGTGGAGATCTAAAAATATTTTCTATGTGGCAGATACTTGCTTTATATTGACATGCATTATCTTATTAATCTCCATGGAAACTGAAAGTTAGGCTCTACCCTTATTGTATGTGATTACAGATTAGGAAAGGTAGTAAGGGACAGGGTCAAGGCTGAGGTCTGGGCAGCCTGGCATGAACTGAAGCTTCGCTACCTACCTCAGCTCCTTTCACACCTGGACCAGAGATGTGTGAGTGAGGGCTACAAGCACTGCGGGGTTCAGAGTGAGTAATGAGGAGCTGGATAACAAAACAACAGTCTGCATTTCCATTTTTTTATTTTTCAATTCCCACTTCATTTTTATTTTTATTTTTTCCATAATTTTATTGAGAAACAAATAGCAATGAGAGTTTCAAACCAAATTGGTAGGACAGTTTCAATAATTAACACATTGCATACATTCTTCCTAGTGGTTAATTGCTGTATAAGATGCAGACATGATATCCTATTTACAAACACCATTAGAAGAAATCCCTCTATTCATTAAGAGAATGCAACTATATATCTATCCTAACCATTTTGAATACACAGATACAAAATGGACATTCACCCGTATCCCTTTTTTTTTGGTTAAGTTCCGTTATTTGAATATTATAGGTGTGTAAACTCAGCAAAATATTCTAAAACAGTCCGAATGAAATACCTTGGAATTAATCTAACTAAAGAAGTCAAAGACCTTTTCAAGGAAAATTACAGTACTCTTAAAAAAGAGATCGTAGAGGATTCCATTCCCATTTGACGAGGGTAATAGTTCTGGAATTATGCAAGCCTGCCAACTTGTACAATATGTAAGTTCTTAATTTCTTTACTTATTCTTGAATAACTTTTTTTTTTTTTTTTGGCGGAACTGGGGATTGAACTCAAACCCTTGCGTTTGCCAGGGAAGCACTTACTCTACTGAGCCATCTCCCCGGCCCCCTTGAATAACATTTTTGAAGGGGCAGGTTTTTGTGTAAGCTGGTGATGCCTAGCTAGGCATTAATAACTCCCTTCCCCCTTTCTCAAATCAAAAGGAAACATGAAATAGTTAAAATATATTATTTAAAAAGTGATCGTTGCTGTCTTATCTTACTTGCTTTGGCTGTAAGGCTGAATTCTCTGTTTCTTTAAAAATTCATTCTTTGTCTTTCTTTCCCTTTCTCTCTCCAATAAGATTACAATGGAAGATGTTGGGATAATCAAAGAACTTGGTGATGGAATTACCTCAATGACTTGCTAACTGTAAATCACATTTTTGGGTGCAGATGTCAAGAAATTTATTAGTACCACTTCCAAATTTTACATATAAATTGGTCCTTAGTAAATCTGAAAATTGAATTGAAAGGTGAATGTGTGTATGTTTTAAATTTTATAGCTCTATCTCATATTACTCAATGAATAGTGTTACTAATTTGACCTGCAGAGGCATATGATAGTTAATTTAGTTTTTAGTTCATTAATTACTTTTAGCACTAGTTAGGCGGGCCAACTCCTATGTATGGTGGCTTAAATATAATTCCATTTATGTAAAAATACTGGTCCCTTCATGATATAGTGAGACTCAGGATATTGCAAGTACCACCCTCATAGAGTCTCTAAGGTTTCCCAGGAGTCCTCTCCATTCCAGCAGCCAGATGGGGAGAGCACATGGAAGAGTTGGTGTGGGTGGTTTTATGGGCCAGACCTTGAAGTGGCATCTGGCACTCACATTTCCATCCCATGGTCTAGACTCAGCCATACCCAGCTGCAAGGCAGATGGGAAAATGTGGTGTAGCTCTTTGTTCAGAAAGGAGAATGTGGATTGTGGAAGGAACCACCAGTCTCTGCTACAGTTATTAAAAAATGCACTCTATCCTAATAGCCTCTCATGAAGACTCCTTTGCTACTATCTGAGCTTCATTCCTCAGGATGAGTGCTTTTCTCATTTGTGTTACATAGGTTCTTTTAAGTATTTGGTAATTTTTGCTGAACAGTTAAAGCTGTCTGGGACCCATGCCTGGGGAAGGTAATGGGGTAGAATAATTGGTGGTTGGAGATGTGGACACCTGCAGGAAGATCCTTCCTATGTGCACAGGAGACTCAGTCTCTCTGGCAGCCCAGACTCTACTGCTGAGGGTGCAGCTATAGAGCCTACAGTGGGGAATTTTTTGGTTTTTATTTGGGAGAAAGTTGGACAAGACATTGCTGAATGTGATGTTTTGGTTTCCAGGAGGCCTTGGAGTGGGCAATGAAGAACCACTTGTGGGGTCATGCTTTGTTCCTAGCCAGCAGGATGGACCCAAGGACCTACAACTGGGTCATGAGTGGGTGAGTCTAGCTTGCAGAGGAGACCAAGAGAGCAGAAATCCATCCCCTCCAAAGGTGGGACATGGTCAGGGTAAGAGAAAATGCATGCTGTGCAGAAAAGCCCACACTCTGAGCTATTTCCAATTTCTTTTTTCAGAGCCAGACAGCATTTCTCTTCTCCAGATTCTTACAACCTAGAGGCAAAGGCATTCTTTCTATTTAATAAGTGGAATAAAACATTTAATCATAGTCCCCAGGATCAGAATTTCTGAAATCCAAGTCATTTCTACATTTTAATAATCTTTGGGAGGGGCTGTGCTAGATAGTTCCATTAGTGAAGGAATGGGAGGACATTCAAGTCACTTGATGGAGCTTTGGGCGTAAGTCAATGCCTCATACTTAGTGTTGCTGTGGAGATGTGAATATTAGGTAGAGGTACAGGGCTGCAGGACCATGAGCTGTGGTAGCGAAAGATGTCATAGGATTGGGAACTAGAAGTCAGTGTCTTGGTGGGGGGCTATTGAGACTGTAGAGGAGGGCTTGGTAAGAAACCACAAAAGCATACCAAGTCCCAGGTGCCAGCCAGGGTGTACTCTGAGGAGAACCAGGTAGGGCTCACATGGTGGAAAATATTCAGTATTGAGAGGAGGTGGTAGGAAAGAACTGTTGTAAAAGGGTTTCTGAATAAACTTCAGGCTTCAACTTGCACCCTGAACGGCAGATGTGAGCGGGGGTCTCTCCTGCAAGGAGCAGGCTGGGGCCAGACCGTGAGAAGGATGTCACCTCTGCACATTTATCTCCTAGTGTGTGATCAGGCTCAGTTTGTGATCCGACTTAGGTTTGAACTGGCCATAAGTCCCAGGAGGCAAAGAGTTGGGTGAGAGCATGGACCGCTCCAATGCAAGCTTGATCTGTGTTCTTAGTGGCTGTCATCCTGCCTGGTAGCCCATATTTCAGGATGGCCCTAGCTGTCTCTTTATTTCTCTAACCTTCACTCTTCCGGGGGACGAGCAAGCTCGCTGAGTACTTCATTACACTCGGAGCCTGGAACTGAGGAGCGCTGTTATGTCGAGTGCTCTGAGCTCCTGTGGCAAGGGTGCTATTAACTCAAAACTGGTGTTCTGAGGGACGATTTCCCCTTGGGTTTTGAAAATGAACATCCCACGACCCCAGGATGTAGCCTACATCTTGCTACAGAGTTTTGCCTTGGGCCATTGAGTTTTGATGGGGCCCAATGAATTGTGAAAAATATCTCTTACCGAGTATGCTTAAATCTCAGATCAGCTGTAGAGCTTATTATATCCTTGTTAAGCACATCCCGTGGTTTGCCATCAGCAGGATCATTTCTGGTCCCTGTTCCACGCCTTTCTGGTTATTGAAAATGGCCATTTAGAGCTTGGCAGGGAAAGCTCCGTAGACCAGGGCTTGTGCTGAGGCAGGAAAATGACCCTGACAGCTTTTGCTTGGTATGGAAGAAACTGCAGGGGAGGAAAGGCCCCCTGAGAAGAGCCCCAAGGAAGCAGGGGCTGCTTTCCAGGGGCTTTTGAGATGTGTATGGGTTATTTTGTTGGTAGAAGAAGGCCCATAGAGATGCCCACTTAAGAGTTAGGGCGTTGGGGCCTAACTGCAGGAAATGTCCCCCACCAGTGGACTTGTGCTGAGAGAAGATGCAGCTGCCCTCCCTAACAAGGATAACGTAGAGGTACAGCAGAGGGCAAAGAGACGCACCTTCCAAAAGGAACCACTGGCTTCGAATGGAAATGCGCAGGGCCTATGTGCCGGCCCTGGGCCCAGACCTCCGGCTTGGGCCCCACTGACTGTTCTTTCTCTCTGCAGCTTCACCAGCACCCTGGCTCTCAACGATCCCCTGCAAACCCTCTTCCAGCTCATGTCGGGGCGGATTCCACAAGCAGCCACGGTATTCTCCGGAACAGGCTTCCTTCCACACCCATCATCTGAGGGAAGGGTTGAGGGTGGGGAGGGGATGTCTCAGGAATGCAAGGATGGCTTTCAAGGTACAACATGAATAACAACAGTTTCTTAATTACCTACCATGTGCCAAGTGCTTTGATGAACATTATTTTAGTCACTACATTAGAGGTAGGAGTTAGCATTCCTAGTTTCCCCTCAGATGTAGAAACTGAGATAGAAAGGTGCAAGAAAGAGCAGGGAAGATAGCTGGGTGGTCTAGGCGCCTGCCTGGCAAGTGCAGGGTCCCGGGTGAGATCCCTGGTACTGTATGCTAGTATACCTGACGTGCTACATTTAGTCAGCCCCCAAATCAGGCATGGTGGCACACACCTGTAATCCCAGTGCTGGGGAGGCTGAGACAGGAGGACCACTAGGAGTCCGAGCTGCTTAGTGAGACGGACCTGGTATCAAATAAATAAATGAATAAGGTTTAAAAAATTTAAAAAAGAAGAAGAAGGAAACAAAGGTGCAAGTGGCTCAAGACCACAGGGCTAGGAAGGAGTCAGGTCAGAGTTGGCCCAGGTCTGTGTGACTCTACATTTGGGAGACTGGAAATATCTCAGGCATCAGCCTATTATTTCTTTCTTTTCTTTTCTTTTCTTTTTTCCAGAACTGGGGATTGAACTCAGGCCCTTGCGCTTGCCAGGGAAGCACTTATTCTACTGAGCCATCTCCCTGGCCCCCTGAGTGACTCTAAAGACCTCAGTGTGCGCGGTACCACAGCAGCCTGCTCTGCTCTGCACAGCAGGAGCTGAGGTTCTCCAGTGGGGCTACCCCATCTTCCTGGGGGAGGACCTCCCTGGTGCATTTCTGGCCTTCAGAGCCAGACACGTCAGACTGTCTATCTTTTGTAGTTGCATGTGGTTGAGGAGAAGGCTGAGGCCCACCTGAGAACTTTCCCATTACAGCAGATGTGATCTTTTCACTCCAAACTATTTGAATTTTTTAAAACTCAGCTTTGTGCTTTTGCTTCATAGAAGCAACCGCTCAGTGTCTCCCTCTTTCCTCTTGAAGGTACCTTTATTCAATCACCATGATTTTTGGCAGCCTTTTTATTGAATTGTAGTTGGATTTTTTCTGATAACTAGTTTTATTGAAAACAGAGTTTTGCTTTTTTGTCCTTATTACTTGTAGATAATTCCAAGAAAAGGGAAATTATTATTTTTCAGGCTTTATCATTGAACTAATGGGCTATTATTTTTTTGGGAGGTGAGTTGCGACAGGGTCTCCCTATGTAGTTTAGTCTGGCCTTAAGCTCATGATAATCCTCCTGCCTCAGCCCTCCAGGTGCTGCTGGGGTTACAGGCGTGCATGAACAAGCCTGGCCAATGGGCTACTTTAAAACAGAGTATGCCTCACAAGTCAGATGAAATGTCTGCTGTACAGTGAGATTGTGTCATGTTATGAGGTTGTAAATATATAAAATGATAGAACCAGCTGTGGCTTCACTGCAGTGGTAGAGTTAGCTAATTTCCCATACTTTCAGGTGAGCAAGCCAAGGACCAATAGAGTTATTGTGAAAATTAAAGAGAGGGAATATCTAGACCTATCAATATCCATGCTTGGCCCATGGATATTAGTTCATAAATGTTTTCTTGCTCTTTCCCTTTACCATAAATCTGTTATATAGGGCTTATTTTTTCTGAATCACTAAAGTTGAACAGAGATAGACTTACATGTTCTTTTTTAAAAAAAGGAATTTTTTTTTTCTGTTTCCTTTAGATCCAGCACAAGAGGCTTGGCTTATATGTTAAACAAGCGTACATACATGTGCTAGCACTTGTGAATGCTGGCAGGAAAAATGCTCAGCACAGGGTACAGTTCATGGGCCAAGCCACAGGGACAATGAGAGCTGCCATTACTGCTGTGACCCTTCTTGGTCTTGGTCCTCTTTCTTCTTCTTCATTTATAACATTTTCTGAGTTAGACAAGAATTAAATGTAACACAAGAGTGGAAAAACATTCTTTTATTCATTGAGATATTTATAAACAAATAGTTGTGAATAGTTTTGACCTCCAGACGTTAGTTACTACTGTCAACCTCCTGTTCTACCCATCGATGAGGCAAATTAGAGTTTGACAGGCTTGAAAATTATTTCTTTCCTCTGCTAAGTCTGTAGTCCTGTGTGTGTGTGTGTGTGTGTGTGTGTGTGCGTGCGTGTGTGTGTACCTAAGATCAAACCAAGTGTGAAGCACTATGCTATGTGCCTTACCTTATCTTACTAAGAACAGCAATCCTGGTATAATCTCCATAGGAGGCATGCCTGAAGTGAAATCCAGACCCTGTGTTGTTTCTGTGACATTAGGTTTTGGGATTTTTTGGGCAATACTGCTGAGCTATCTCCCCAGCCCGTTAGGTTGCTTTCACACTGACAGTTTCCTCCCTGGAATTTGCCTTCTTTTAGGGGAAGGACTGCCTGTAGCAGCCTCCCAGGGCAAGTACCCTTTAAATAGGGCATCTGCTCATTTCTACTTCTCTACTGACTCTCTGCTGCCCTCTTGTGGGCTCTGCTGCCTCTGCGTTGTCACCAGAAGCAGGAGGCAGGAAGCAGGGGAAGTTGAATGGGGTCTGAACTGTTAGGTTTGGTTTTCTTCTTCTTTCGTAGTAACTGGAATTAGACTTAATAAGGTTGTGTGAAGGGTAAGTAAGAGGATGCAAGTAAATGGACTTTGTAAGGCCAGAAAGCAGTAGGCATTTGGCAAGACTTTAAGCAGCCCTGTATTATCCTGACTTCTGGGATGTACTAATCCTGTCTCGTCTGCTTGTGAGCTGAGGATGTTTGATCTTCATTCTCATACTGAAACATCAGTCTTATTTTTTGTGGGGGTGGGTTTGGCTCTATCTATTTGGGGTAGAGGCACTGGAAAGAAATTGGAAAATTAGTTTATCTTCAATTTCCTTATGTATATATGTATGGATGTACATGTCCATTTGCATCTATCTGCCTTTTATATTTCTCAGAGTTTTTTGAAAAAGAGAACTGTAAATCAGTAAACGACAGCATTGCAGGCAGTATAATGGGCGTTTCCCAAACTCCTCCAAACCAAAAAATAGACGCAGTGGCCTCTTTTACCTATATTTTTGGGCAGTAGGTAATCTTCATTATTTTTCTGCTATTGCCCAGTGCTGTGGGGACAAGCAGTGGGGAGACTGGAGGCCCCACTTGGCTGTGATTTTGTCAAATCCATCTGGGGACCCGGAGCTGCATCAGCGCGCAATTGTCACGATGGGCGACACGCTGGGTAAGCCTACACTGTCACTGCTCCTTCTCTAGGGTAGGCCAGGCCAACTTTATGTGCCTGTCCTTAGATTTTCAGAATCTGAGCAGGGCTGGAGTCTATGCCCAGGCCTCTTCCAGGTCCAGGAACCTCTGTTTTGGGATAAGAAATTTCAGGGAAAGGAGTGTCCTACTTGTGTTGTCTCTTAGAGTTCCCACTGTAAGCCAGTGCAGGCCACACGGAGATGGCAGTCTATGCTACAGAGCCACTTCCCAGTGGCTGACGCTCCACCCCTGGGCGACACTCTCTCTACATGGTGCTAACCCAGGGGACATCTCTCCTCCTGTGGCCATTAATGCTTCAGTGACCTAGCTCAATCAGAGAGGAAATTCCGTGTTTGCCTGAACTGCCCCAGTAGTTCTGTAGTCTACTTCTCTCATCGCTGTGAGCATGGCCTTACCAGCTGTTAGGAGGTCCTGAACGTTCCAGATCAGCGCATCCAGAGCTCGGGCAAAGGGCAGAAGATCTAGAAATCTCCAAGTTTCTCGTGGACCTTTGTGAAATGGGGCCGCGTGAGACTTGGCACAGCTGTGCGTAAGGTTGTGCCGAGTGCTGCCAGTTCATGCTGCACTCTTGACAAAAGGGAGCCGGTGTCTGTTGAGCCCTGCTTGGGTGCCAGACACTGTGTTAGGTATTTTACCGACTCAAATTAATTTTTTAAAAAACATCTTTTTAAAAATTTATTTGGTACAGGGTCTCACTATGCAGCTTGGACTTGTAGAGATTCTCCTGTCTCAGCCTCCCCAGTGCTGGAATTACAGACATGTGCTACCATGCCCGGTTTCAGGGCTGGCAGGGCATGCAGTACCGGCACTCAAACCTGGGTCCTTGTGCTTGCCAGGCAGGCGCTTAGACCTCTGAGCTATGTCCCTAGCTGCTTTAAATTAATTTTGAGGCAATGAAAAATGCATAGGAGAACACTTGAAAATTGGGAACAGTTTGGTAATTAATTTGATTTTTATGAGGACCAGGAAAGCCCTGCACGGCTTATGTTAGCAGGAGCTGCGATTATACCCCAGAAGCCTAGCGCAGGAGTTGCTGCTCTCGACAGTCCGTGTCTTTGATCAGACATGGGCATCTCATCCATTCTCATCCTGAGGAAAGACTGAAGTGTTTAGAAAATGCCTGATGAAAAATCCACTGGGGCAATGTGAAGTAACGACTGTGGAGGGAAACGACATGCAGTCCTGAGATGGAAAGGGGGGGGGGCGGGGCACCGGAGGCTCCTGACTGAGAAGCTTGTTGGTTTAGTCTCCCAAGACTCCCCGCCCCCAGCCCCCACGTCCACCCTTTCATCTGACTCTTGCATGTAGACAGCGGGCACCATGGGTGGCCCCTGACGGGGCCTTGCTCTGCTCTTCCTGCAGCCGGGAAGGGGCTAGCCGAGGCCGCGCACTTCTGCTACCTTGTGGCTCACGCGCCCTTTGGCCACTACACGGTGAAGACAGACCTTCTGGTCTTGCTGGGCAGTAGCCACAGGTATGTGACCTTCAGGGGGAAGGAAATGGCAAGGATGTTGCCCATGAAATTCTTTTAGCCCTTGCTGCATTCATGGGGCCATTTTTCATTCTCTGTAAATTGTTTTCCTGGGCAGCTCTGGGTGAGAAGGTGAGTGCTCGGGACCTCGGGCTCCAGGAAGTGGCCGGCCTAGGCCTCTGGGTTGTGTTGTGCCCTTCTGGCCACTGGGTGGCACCCTAGCTCCACAACCAGACAGCTCCAGAAACAAGGTTTCCCGTGTGGAGGTTCCGGTTCCGCTAGGCAGGCAGGGCCTGCGTTGGTAGCTCACCAGAGCCAAGTGGCAGGTGCAAGAGGTTTACCTTTAGTCCTCCGACAATGACTGCGTACAAACTCCTAAAGCCTCGGGTGGTGGTGACATCAGGCTTTTCGTCTGGGAAAACCATCCGAGATCCTTGGAGAAGGACTAGATGATAGAAGATCGGACAAGCAGCTCCCTCGCGGGTCCTCTCTGTTCTGGATCTCTCTATCCCCTTCCGTGTAAGGGTTACAAACGTCTTATGTGGCTCTGGCAGCTCACTTTGCGCGATTTCCTTTGTTACAGATTTACCCAATGAAGAAGGTATATTTTCAACCCTCACTTATAGAAGGGATTTCTGAGCACAGAGAGGTTGAGAAGCTTGTCTGGGGTAGCACAGCTTGTGTGCTGTGTTTGTCACTGTGACCCTGGCTGCCTACTACTGTGGTGATCCACCTGTCGCCTAGCCCAAGAATGTTAGGGATAGTACATCTCCCCCTACGTTCATGATAAATGCGGAAATTTCTGGAGATCAGGTCCTGTCTCCCAGGGATTATATAGTGACTGTGAGTTTGGACATCTTGGCGAGGTGTCAGGGAAGAGACTTGGGGCACGTGGGGCTCTTGAGGCCCTTGGGTCATGCTTGCCTGTTCCCTTTCTCGCTGGCTGAATGCACATCTGATGGAAGTATGATGCCTTCTGCTTGGCTCTCCTCCCTTCTCACCTGGCTGGCTGTCCTCAGTGCTCTGTATGGGCCACGGCCGCTCTTCTGTGCTTGCATGCGTGGGGGGCATGGCTTTCTTTGGACACAGTAGGGTTTAGGTCTCAGAGGCCAGCTCTCAGTGTATTTACAGGGGGGACCTGGGGCTCCACCCTCTGGCAAGGGAGCTGGAGGAGCCCTTCCTGCTCTCTGCCTCCCAGGCCCTGTGCAGAGCTCTGTGCTGCCTCTAACCCAGGCTCAGGACAGTGGAGGGAGACAAGGCCACACCTGTGCTGGGGCTGGGGGTCACTTTCCTGTCTTGGAGCCACTAGGACCAGCCTAGCATGGTGCTCCGGCATGTGCCCATCTCCCAGGACCCACCCACCCCACCCTACCCATTTGTAATCTCTTGTGTTTTTTTTTCCCTGGTGTAGTCAAGAGTTTTTGAAATTTGCAACCACTGAGGCTATCCAGAGGACGGAAATCTTCGAGTACTGCCGGATGCTGGGCCGTCCCCAGTCTTTCATTCCTTCGTTCCAGGTAACAGAGCCCAGACAAGGCTCTCTGCTTAGCCATGTCAGCCGGCTGTGAGCAGCCTGGTCTTCAGCTCTGCTTCTGGCATGTAGTACCTGGGGCTAAGTCATCCACTGCAGTTTTCCTCATTAGTGAGGGAGTGGGAAGGTTTAGGATTTCTCTTCATGTCCCCTAAAGGTCACATTTAACAGTATGAAAGCAAAAGCTTGTGGAGGCCCCTCTGCTGAAGGCCCCTGCTCCTTCCTGCCATGAGCAGATCTGTGCTTGTGGTCCTGGGCCCAGGCCACACTCTGACCTCAGCACCCTCATGCTTCTTGCCACCAGCGCCATTCTCTGCTGCCCTCTCCACAGCCGACCTGCCTGGGAGTCAGGGGTTCCCACCTCCTCCCTGCTGTCCTTGGCCCACAACTTCTTTTTTTGCCTCTCAGGGTTTGCCTTGTAAGTAGCATCCCAGCTGCAGGTCTGTCCTCTCACCTCAACATCTCTGCTTAGTGTCTTGTCACCTTAAATTTACAACCACAGATGCTGACCTCTCACCATCCTCCTGTCCAGTCTCCTGTGTGGTCCCAAATCCAGCACTGTGAAGCCTCTTCTGTCTGCTCCTGCTGTGGGGCTGGCGTGGTGGCCTGAGGTGGTTCATTGGGGGCTGGCTGTGCAGGGAACTGGCATGAGGTCAACCTAGTTCCTTTCCGTCACAACCTGGAACAGTGCCGGGCATACAGGGAGGGGACCTCCACAGCACTGGCTCCAAGGCCTCAGCTGACATCTAACCCGCTTGGCCCTGCATTTTCTTTCCAAGGAGTCTGATCTCTGATGGAATTATCTCCTGAAGGCTGAGTCCTTTCCTGGTGGTGCTTTGTGTCTCCTTCAGTGTACACCAGTGAGAGTACACACAACAACAATAACACAACACACACCTGTGACACACAGAGACAGTCTCAAAGATGAAGTATTGTATTATAAGGAGATAATCTATCTGGTGTGATCATTTAAGTTTTGCCAAAGACCTATCTTGTCCAGCAAGTGAGCGCCCCCTTGTGGCTCCTCTACAGGCAGGCTCCTTTCCTTTCCCTTCTCCATTCACGCCACCTTTCAGTTATCTTGCCACTTCTGGGAGCCCATAGCAATGGCATTGGCCAGTTTTATTGCCTGTGCTCCCCATGCTGGGGTTGTGCATTATGCTTCTTGTTTATTAGCTTTAATTCTGTGGAGCAGGCATGATTATCCACCCCATGGCCCTTTATAAAAGAAGAAACAGCTTCAGAGAGGTGGCATACTATTCACTCACTTCTCACACAGAACATTTGTTCTAGGCACTTTATGTGGATTATCTCACTTAATCTTCACAACCACCAACGTGAAGGCGGTATTATTATTCTCATGCTGCATTGAGGAAACTGAGGCACAGAGAGGGGAGGGAAGTAGCCCGGGGTTCCCATTTGCATGGCCTTGGATTTGCTTGGTTCCGGCTGGCATCACAGTCCTGTGCTGACCTCACTGTGGCCCTGCTTCCACAAGCCTGGCCTGCTTTCCTGAGTTTGCCTGCGTTCTGTACTAGGCCACGAACTGCCTGTTCCAGTCTTGTTTTGCTTTCGCTTATGTGCCCTGCTTCTGTGTGCCATAGATCTCGGGCTCTCTGGGGATGGGGGCTGCTGGTAGGAAGCACTGCAGTGCCTTCCCATGGTGACAAAGGGTCCGGGAGGACACAGGCAGCTGATGGGAGCCATCCCTGCTTTTTTCTCTGTTCGGCAGGAGCTGCAGGCTAGAGCTGTGCTGTGCATAGAGCAACTGTCCCAAATGGCAGGGGGCCCTTGCTATTTGGATGCCAGAGTCAGCAGAAGCTAGCGGTCAGCTGCCTTCCAAGAGGCCTTATCTACCCTTCTTCTGTCTTTCTATTCCTGCTGGGTGGACTTATCATCGGGCCTGTTCTTCTTCACAGGTGTATAAGCTCCTCTATGCTTCCCGTCTGGCGGATTATGGTCTGGCATCCCAGGCCTTGCACTACTGCGAGGCCATTGGTGCAGCTGTCCTGAGCCAGGGACAGAGCAGCCACCCTGTGCTATTAGTGGAGCTCATCAAGGTGAGTGTCTCAAGGGTTCTCTGCAGGTGTTTTATCTCCAGTGCTCAGAGAAAGCCGTTGTTGAACGACTTACACTCCAAAGTTCATCTTCTTTGAACATGCTGCAAAATTGGAGCCCATGGCTGTCTTTGACCATGTATGCATGCCCCGACGTGATAAGCAGAAGCCCAACATGCACAAAAGCCTGAAGTGCTGGGTGGGGGTGGTGGGGTTCAGGGACTGAAAACCAGGCGTGTGCTACTCGGGGAAATTCATTCTTGCATCTGTTTTTCTGGTACAGTAAAACTGCGTGCTATGGTGGGCTGTTCTAATTACAAAAGCCAGGCTTAGAAAACATATTTTAGTGATTAAAACAGGAAATGATCCTTATTAAAATGCTTTTAAATGCATGGAATATTTTATCACATGTGGGATACATTTAAAAAAGAAAACAGAAACATATCATCCCTTAGTTCCTGGGGAAGAAACAGCAATCAGGCAAAGAGTTGTTCCAATTAATTGAAGAAAATTCCATTAGCTAGAAAGTCGCAAGGCAGCCTACCCTTAAATTTTTGTTTTGCTCTCCATGAGGCCCTAGTGTTGAGTCTGTAACCAATAAGATTTGTGGTGCTGAGCCCTCATACTCTGAAATGTCTACCAGTACCTTGACGGTTCTCAGAGCTCGGGGCCCCCATATGAGTGCTCAAGATGTTTTGTGGACATAATACTGGACTAAAGATCAAATCAGAATCAACATACGAAGGAGCACGGGCCTCACCTGGGAACTTGTCAGAAATACAGATTTCAGCCTTGCCCAGACCAACTCAGTGAGAATTAGCAGTTTGATCAAGGGCCTGATTCCCGAGTAGACCAAAATCTAAGAAGCCCGCTTACGTAGATGACTTTGCACAGGGCGTGAAGCTGAGTCACTGCTTCTCCTCGTGTTTTGTTTAGTATTTCATACCAAAATGAGTTAATTGTTTATTTATATTGCAATTTGGGGAGGGTAGCTCCTGAAATTTGAATTTGTTATTTCTTGATTACTTTTATGACTTGTTCTTCCTCCCTTTCCCTGCCTGGATTTCCCCTTTTCCCCATTTCCTTCCATGTCCTGGGTTACTGCTCTTCTTGCCCCTCTCTTGCTTTGTGCTACGACTTGTCTGGAAACCCGGCACAGCTTGCGGAGAAACTGAAGCTGTCAGATCCTCTGGTTTTAGAAAGGCGCCCTGAGGACAGGGACCTGGAGCCAGACTGGCTGGCACAACTGCGGAGGCTGCACTGGGAGCTGGAGGTGAGTAGGGCAGAGCTGGGGCGAGGGGGCTGGGCCTGCCCTAGCCAGAAGATCCGCACAGCAAGTCCACGCCCTCACGTCACTGTGAGGGCTCCTGTCACTGGACACACAGGCTGTGTCCTGGGGACGGCAGCCTCTGGGCTTCCCCCTGCTCCTCTCTCCCCGTGCAAACCTTTTCCTGCTTGCAGGTGACATGGCGGGGAGGGGAGCACTCTTGTCACCCTGCTCTGAGATCGCAGGGAATGTGCTTTCTGACCATCAAAGTTCCCTGTCTCTGTGGAGCAGTGGATCACAGTGGAGCTGTGTCACTTTCATGTAATGTGGGGCAATTGCTTGAAAGACTTCCGGGCCTTTCTTTTTTGTTCTGACAATTGCAAAAGCTGCTGGCCATAATCAGAGCAATAACTGGAGCAGGGCCTCCCCCATTTTCTTTCTTCTACTTTGAAGAAAGGATGAAGTAGGTTTTTAAGACCACACCTGGCCTTTTCTCCCCCTACCTGCTGTACACTCCGAGGCCAGTCGAGCCCCCGCCATTTACCCCTCTCTGGGGAAGATAAATAATGCTATGGCTGTTGATCTGCTCACAGCAGAGCGGGGAGACCCTTGCGTATGTCCCTTGTGTGCGATCCTGGTCACAAGGGGAGCATGTCACTGAGGTTCCCTTACCTTGTCACTGCCAGTGGAAGTTTCTTGTTGACCCCATTCCCAGTCCTCGTGTTTCCTTGTGCTGCTGCAAAGCATTCTACTTTATTTTGAATAGCAAAAGACAGCGGGAGGCCTCGGGAACCCTCGGTCTGCTCGCTCAGGTATTTCCGGAGCCACAGGAACGCCAGGTATGCAAGATGCTGAGCTGACACTCAGACCGAACTAAAGGAGAGCAGCTAATTTAGGGAGCGCCTCCTCTTCCCTTCCCAGGTGTCCCTTGTCCTTGTACACCTGGCCCTTTGGCCCAGCAACCTCTCTGCCTCGCTCCTGCTGGGCTCATGTGCCCAGGATGCTTCTGACTCTCCGGCTACACCAGTCTCTGCTGCACAGTCCAGGGCTTGAACACCTGAATGTTTTATAGGCTGCATTGCATTGTTAGCTACCTGTTTCGTCGGTGCTAGTACCTTGCTCCCAGCTGTATATGTTTCTTGAGGCCAGAGACTGCAGCTTACATGTGTAGTATGTTGGTGTGGGAAGCTGTGAAGGTTTGAGTGTTCAATAGCCATAAGACTATGATGTAAATTGTCCCCATGTGTCTTCACAGTGTCCCTGCTCCTCCCTCAGGATGCCTCTGGGTGGCCTGTCTGTGGGCCTTCAGTCCCCAAGTTATTCCCGTGATGGGTCTGGAAGGGCTCTCATCTCTACCCTGCAGGCCATTTCTCAGCCTCCTGCACTTCATCAGGGATGAGCACAGGGAAGGGCAGGGAGCAAGGGCCTTGGTTAGGGCACCTGGCTGCTGCCCAGCAGGGTCTGTGGTGCTGCACTGTGAGGAGAGCTGCCCTGCATGGCTGCTTCCGACGGGCCCTGTCTGCTACTCCCTGGGGTGGGTGGGACCCTCGGCCACGCACTTCTGGCATCCACACTTTTGCTTATCTTAGTAGCACTCTGATCTGGGATTTTCAAATTTTATTTTTTATTAGTGTGTGTCCGCGACCAATGGTTCTGTTTCTGGTGGGGAGTTGGTGCCTGTCCATGATGCATCTTCATTCTGCCCCTACTCTCCTGCTCTTCTTCTTGTTCCTCTTCCCATTTGCAAGAAGCCTCCATTTCCATATTTTAAACTGAAAGCTTTCTATGTGCCAAGTATTCAACTGCATAAAGAATGTCTTAAAGGAGGGAAAACTTACCCCAAAATTGAAAAGTGGGGAGTTAGATGGGAGATGAGGTGGTAAGTTGCACTTTCCCAAGCCCTCAGGCTAAGTGGCATAGGTCATACAAAAAGTGAGGGACATAATTCTGTAAACTGTGGTGAGAGTTGTTACAGTTATTCCGTCCTCCCTCCTTCCTCCCCTCCTGCTCCTCCCTTTTCCTCTTCTCTTTCTTCTCTCTGTCTCTCACCATCTTTCTCTTTGTCTTTCTCCTGCTGTTTGTCTCTGTCTCTGTCTCTATCACTCTGTCTCTGTTCTCTGTCTCTGTTGCGCCCTGTCTCTGTCTCTGTCTCTGTCTCTCTCTGGTACTAGGAGTTGGACTTTGCTTGTCATTATGTTAATGAAAGCTGCATCAGCCAGCCAGCCAGCTCCTATGACTACTTTCTGACTGCTTTCGCAGAGGACAAGAGCAGGAATGTTTTTGGTGTCTAGTCTGCAAATGCTGCATTTCCCGTCTCACTTCTTTCTCTTTGTCTATTGTCCTCAGACTCTTTCTACCCGGATCTTTCAGGACGTCAGGCCTCTGGGTCCCATTCAGCCCCAAGGCCCACTCCTGAGCAGATGGGCCCAACCCAGCCTGGCCCACAGCAGTCCCCTCCCCTTATGGGCCCCTTCCCAGCAGAAGGAGGTACCAGGCACCCCGGGGTACCAGCGCCTCTTTCTGTGGTTCCTGAGACTAACCATCCAGGGACTGGTGATGGTGGTGGCAGCGTGGCAGTGATGGGGGCTCCTGGAGGAAGAGCCTGGGAGGAGACGCCACAGATGTATCCTACCTCTGGTAAGATGTCAGCAGCTGGCACCTTGGCAGTGAGTCCTGGTGCAGAGTGGGAGGAGGGGGAGATGCCTGGCCAGGGGCGGCAACAGGCCGAGGAGGGGAAAGATGCAGATGGGGGTCAGCTCTTCACTGAGGTCCTCCTTGTCATCAGCCTCTGTACTGCTGCTTTGCCAACACCCTAAAGAGCAGGGCAAATGTGGCCATTGGGTCCCTGTCCCCTGACCACAGGGTGTAGAGGGGAGAAACTACAGGGACATAAAGAACGTGGGAGCCCTGTCACACAGGCACTGCAGCCCAGGCCAAATCTTCCTTCTGAACCAGTCTTGTGCCCAAGAGCTTACAGTCAGGGACCGTGGCAGGGACTGAGTTTCTGTCCTGCTTCCCACTTTCCCCAGGGCCATGAGACCTTAGACAGCGTGGGTGGAATGTGGGGGAGCAATGTGGGAACCGTGCGGGAAGATGAGCACTTAAGCCATTGAAGATGAGGGCCATGGCAAGCTGGAAGGGAAGGTGGAAAATCCTGGGATCGAGATCCGAGTTGCGCTGACTTCCCAGATTCCTAAAGAATGACCTTGATGTTTGGGGCTTTGACTTGGGGCTGATTGCATGTTCCAAGGTGGCTGGGGTGGAGAGGAGCCACACAGTCACTTACTGTGACCCACTGTTGCTGTGGACTCTAAGCTCCTGCTGCATTGCTGCTTGGTTAGGGAAGCCACTGTGTCCCTGGTAACCGTCTTCTGGACAGTGGCAAAAGCACGCTCTTAGACTTACTGTGTTTCTCTTTGGTGTCACAGGAGAGAACACAGTGTCTCAAGAAACCTCCCAGCATCATGATGGTCAGAGTGTCATTCCCAAACGTCAGGTAAGACGCTGAGTCCTGAAAGGGGCAGCTGCCCGCGCTGACAGTGTTGCTGCTATTCTCTCACTGGACTTGGTTTCCTTTTTTTTTTTTTTTTACTGGGGATTGAACTCAGGCCCCTGTGCTTGCCAGGCAAGCGCTTATTCTACTGAGCCATCTCCCCCAGCCCCCAAAAGTTCAGAAGGATTTTTTTTTTTTTGGGCCTACTCAGGATGCCTTAAGGGCATGTCTGGTAAGGCATGAGGATCTGGGGATCAAACCACAGAATTCTGAGCCTGACTGCTTTGCATAAGCAGGCACTTAAACAACTGAGCTAATGGGCAGGCCCTCTGGCCCTGGTTTCCTAACCATGTGCAAGTTCTTTGCTCTTCCAAGCTGGGCATGTTTCTTCTTGTTTCTTTCCACGTCATATGCTGGGAGCTGGGAAGGGGACTGTGTTCTTGTGCCTGGTCCTGCCTGCCTCTGACCTCAGGAGGAGGCAGCGACAGGGCCGGTTTGGTTTTGGCTTCGTGGATCTCTGTCCCTCTGCAGCCCCTTCTGCTGCACCAAATGCTCGCCACATCCTGCCTGGTTGTAGAATACTCTTGATATTTATTTCCTGATTTTAATCTTGCCTTGGTTTGTGTCAAAGAAAGATTCATATTGCTGTAGCAGTGGCTGCTTGTCTTTTCCTCTCAATTCAGCTGTAAGGTGTTGGAGGTGCCCGTGTGGAATTAATCATTCCACCTAGCTGTTGACTGAATGCAACTCTTCCTTCAGAAATGGGCAGCTTTGATCCCAAACTTAGGATTTTCTCCAGCTTTTCTGGGTTAGAATGATGGTATTACACAGCTTTTTCAAGTAGTGTTGGGGCTTCAGGTCTTTAAACCCTTTTATGATTTACTATTTTTCTTGTTCTACAGAAAAAGTAGTACATGATTGTTATAAAAAATGAAAAAATAAACTATCATATAAAGCCCCAAACTCTATGGTCCCACAGCTAAATATTTTGGTTCCTTCCATCCATACATATGGTGTGATTAAAACATATGGTGGGGCCAGGGAGATAGCTCAGTGGAATAAGTGCTTGCCTGGCAAGCACAAGCTCCTGAGTTTGATCCTTGGTACCACAAAAACAAACAAACAAACAAACAAACAAACAAACAAAAAAACATATGGTGAATCTTTAAATAAAACATTTATTACAATAAAAGGCATTTTCCCATTAATCCTCAAAGCCCTCTCCTTCTCTTTGAACACTTTGTCCCATCCTTCTTGTCACTTTCTGAAGCAGTTCTGGCAGTCCTCTTTGGGACGCTTTTCAGTTGCAATGTCATTCTGCCTCAACATTCTGAATTGATTCAAAACAGTTTTTAATGATCATTTTGACCTTGGGGAAGAGCTAGAAGGCTCTTGGTGGCAGATCTAATGAGTAAGGCAGATGAGGGCATGCCGTCATGTATTCATGAGCCTATTTTTCACCAGGTAATGCTCCGCAGCACGATGGCCTTAGACAGGTTGCTTTAACATTTCTGTGCTTAGTTGTCCTATATGTCAAAGAGATGACAATAATGGCACCTGTCTCAGAGATCTGTGGTAGGGAATAAATGACTCACTGTATGAAAATACTTAGATCAGTGCCTGGTGTTTTATAATTGCTGTGCTCATTAGACTAAAATAATGGAGCTTTTTCTGTATTTTTGCCAACATTTGTACCAATTATGCTTTATGGAGAGTGTAAAATATAAATATAACCCGAAACGGCAGCATGTTGTAGAATTGTATTTGTGTGAGTTCCTTAGATGAGGTAAAGTGGTAGGAATAGGAAGTAGAATAGAATGGTGGGAACTGGGGGCTGGGGGTAGGGGAGGAGGGGAGGACAGAGCTTCCGTTGCAGGTGGTGAAAAAGTGCCAGAGATGGAAGGTACCAATGGTGGTACAATACTCTGAGTGTATTTAAATCCATCGTGTCACACACCTTACGGTGGTTGTAGCAGTAAGCTTTATTGTAATGCATATTGTACTATAAAGGAAAATTAATATGAGAGGTGTAGGCATCTTCTGCTCTTCTCTGGGGAGGGCACTGTTCACAGTTGGTCTTGAGTGAGTCTGTCAGAAAATAAGTTCTAAGATGAGTTAGGTTCCCTGGTTGCTATGTTTTGTTTCTTGGGGGTGGGATTGGGCAGCCCCTGCAGGCCCTCTTCTTCTCTAACAGTGGCTTGCATTCCACAGGCTCCAGGACCTGAAATAGTTCTGGAAACAGTTTCCAGAGAGACCGCATAGCAAACAGAACTTCCTATGGTTAGGGACAACTTGAAACCTGGGTTTAGGACTAGCCTTGACCTGTAACCTGAGGTGAAGTTATTTTTTACAGCTAAACCTTATTTTCCCCTCAGTAAGATCTGATCCCCTAAGGGTACTCCCTGATTTGCTGAGTGGTCAGGTGGGAAGAACATATGCTTTGTAACCTGTCAAGTGCTACAGAAATGTTCATTCTTTTCAAAATTCCAGGTACTACCAGCTCCCAGAGCACGAAGTTTCTCTGAGAACTCCAATGTCTCAGTCCAGGAGGATGAGAAGGCATCTTCTGATGAAGCAGATAAAAAACCCTCCTCAGATGCTGTGCATGGAGAAAAGTCAGGAGGTGTGAAAGACAACACCAAGGTGGGGGTCCTTGTTCTTTTCTTCCATCCCCTTTCTCCCATCCCATTCTCAAGTGGTGGAGCAGAATTGGGAGTCTGGACCACAGCTTTGTCCTCTTCCTTCCCTTCTCCCTATCTCGTACCCGGGGAGGCTAATCTCATGTTCAGTGTGGAGAAACAAATCCACAAGCCTTGCAAATTCCCCTTTCTCTTCAGAGCTCAGGATTTGGCTGGTTCAGCTGGTTTAGATCGAAGCCTTCCACTAGCCCATCTGAAGAAGACTCAGTATCAGACTGTAGTGACTCAGAGGTAAGCCTGTGGCAGGGGTGGGGTACACTCCCTCACAGGCTCTCAGAGGAAATCTCCTCAGCTCCGTGTAGTTCCAGGCTGCCATCCTGCTCTACCCCAATCTGGATAAAGCTGAGGCTTTGTGTTGGGAGATTAAGTGAAATAAGTTTGTTCTAAGTATGAGGGAAGACTATGAAGGTCTTAAAAAAATGAGGATGAAAAATTTTAACTGTGGAGGGTTAGCAACAGAGCTAATTTGGACTATTGACCAGAGGAATGGCAGGAGGAAAATGATGTTTTAAGGAGAGAACCCCAGTGACAGTTGTGGGTGGGAGCCACCATTATGGCTGTAGGAATACCCAGAGGTTGGCATGAAATTATCAACCAGAAATATGTCCAGTGTTGCCTTTTTTTCCTCTACAAAGCAGCTGTCACCTGTGGTATCTTCTCCCCACCGGACTAGCCTCTCACCGACACTGCCTCTTGAGTCTCCATTCCTGCCAGGTACTAGTACTTTCTCCAGGGGCACAGATGCCCATAGCCTCACGCCCTCTGGTTGGTCCTCTGTGGTTCTCTTGGTGCTCCTGGGGCTGGGTGGTACCTTCCAGGGGTGGGCCCTGCTCAATGCTGAGCAGAGGAAAGCACTCTTACTCATTGCCTTGTAGGTGGTAAGGAGCTCCCAGAAACCTTGTCCAGTGGAGGCCCAGCCGAGAGCACTGGGATTGGAGGGTCCTCAGGGCTTGAGGTGAGAGCCTACGGGCCAGAGAGGACTCCCGCAGCTGCTTATGTGTGTGAGGACTCGCCTTTCCCCACGACCTGGAGATGCTGCCCTGGGAGTGGCTCCTGCAGAGGGAGCATGGGTGAAGCTTCCTCAGGCTGCTGTAACAGAGTACCCCAGGCCAGAGGGCTTAAACAATGGGAATTTATTTTCTCATAGTTCAGGAACTAGAAGTGCAAGGTCAGCATTTCCTCTGAAGCCTCTCTCCATGGCTCAGAACTGGCTGTCTTCTCCCTGTGTCTTCACGTGGTCTCTCTCCTCTGTGTCTGTGTGCACTTTCCATGTCTGGTTAGCCACCCACATGCCCTCTTTAATGTATCTCATCTTCAAGTACAACCACATTCCAGTGCACTGGAGGCCAGGTCTTCACCAGATGAAGTGCTGTACAGCTCAGCCCATGCAGTCCTTAGGACCACCTCTTCCCCTGTCTCAGAGGGACTGGAGTTCACTGGTGCCCTTGACTGGGCTAGGATAAATGCTTCACAAGTTGTCCGCGTAGCTAGGGATTTCATACCTGTTGCTAGGGAAGCATTTTTACTTATTGAAGCCTGGTTTGAATGCTCTTGTAGTATTTTAGGATTTCTAAAGAGTCTGCTATTGCCTTTTCTGTTGCACCAACCTGATGTATTGTGGCTTTTCCTTCTCACTTGCTCCAGGTGACAGCCCTGAGCCTCTGCTCTGCCACCCCAGGCCCAGGTATTCACCGTGCCTGCATGAGCCATGTCTGTTTGCTGGAGATTTCCATAATTTTCCTAGAAACCCTTCCATGCACTTCTCTTGGCCAAAGTAGATGCTCAGGGAAGACCTGGGCATTCTAGGAAGTAGCCACAGACTGGATTTTCTGTATTTCCATCACAGGGTGTTGCTTCTGAGCCCTACTCCAAACCTGGTATCCTGCCTCCTTCTACTCCCTTGAGTGGGGCAGTTCCACTCTACAATCCATCTCAGGTTCCTCAGGTAAGGGTGCATCCCAGGGAGGGGCAGGGGCACAGCATTTAACTGAGGATGCTGGATTTGTACTCCCATTTTCTCACTTGCTGCATGTGAGTTCTCAGGCAAAGATTTAACCTCTATAAATCTCAGTTTCTGCATTTGTACGTGGATTACTAGTAGCTACCCCATGTTCTAGATTAAAAGCACTTCACATACAAGGATATGTATGTGAAGTGCTTTTAATCTAGAACATGCTCAGTAAATGAGCCTGATATCATTATTTCTCTTGACCTGTATAGGCCTTGAGATGCCAGAGCTATAGATGGTGCTGGTATCAGTGATGGGGTGCAGAGCTCCTCCGTGCTGTGCCTGGGATCCCTGTAAACTCAGAGAAGCCTGGCTCCCTGCACCTCAGCAACTTGGAGCAGGCTTAGCCTTCCTGATATATCACTTGGCTTCCTTTCCTTATGTAGTCAGATTTCTTTACAGCATAGTTAAGAGGTGAAGGTTGATCATTGGAACTCAACCTTGGGAAGCCACCTGCACCTAGAACATTTTAGAGAGACTCATTTTGCCCTTGCTTAGGCCAACCAGCCATGCCAGGGGCTGTTCTCTAGTGCAGCAATTGTTCTTCTTTTCCAGCTCTCCATGGCTACCAGCCTGAATCCACCAAACCGCCTAGCTCAGCGCCGCTATCCAACCCAGCCGTGCTGAGAATGACCACCTCTCCCGGACTCTTCCCACCTGGAAGCAGTTTCTATGTTGTTCTCCTTTTCTCGGCCTCCCATTGACTTGGTCATATTCAGGTCCTGAAGAGGATCGTACTAATCTGCTATCTTCACTGATACTTGGAAGGCCAGGGACTAGAACTTCTCATGACATAGCTGAAGCTTAACTTCAGAGTGGTGGAATTTATTACATTAGATGGAAAATTTGGGAACTAACAGCAGCCTGGAAGTGAGCAGAGTCATGACAGCAGCACTTGAGATGGTGGCATTGGAGCCTTAGGAAAATTAGGGCCCCAAGATTCCTACAGCTAGAATCAATAGTGATGCCACCAGGGCCTGTAACAGGGTCTCAGAGCAGTATTGCAGACTAACTTTGACTTCTTTTTCAGTCCCAGTTATTAACTAATAAATGGCTCTAGTTAGCAAAGTTTTTATACTGAAACTTGATTATTCCTACCCTTCAATGATTCCCTGTTCAATGACATTTCAGCAATTTTCCTCCTGGTCCTGGTTTTGTACACATTTTCTATGTGGTTTAGATTAATTATATTTTCCTCACTTTCTTAGCTGGTCCTATTTTTTCACATCCTGGCATCTGGCTATCAAGTTAGATTGCTGTAGGCATCATATTGTCATGGTAACTACTGAACCTAATGATGCAGATGGATGGAACATCAGTGTAATAAATGGTGGAAAACATTTCCTAAAAATTCATCCTTTCCATAAAAATGGAGGAATGAGTGCCTGGTGTTGTTAATACCTCCCTTTCTACCTCAGGCCTTTGCAAATTGATGTTCGGAGGGTCACTGGAGCCAGAGGGAGGAGGAGGACATCTTGGAAATTTCCATTTCCCCTTGCAAACCAAAAATAGGACTGATTCTTGCTGTTTGTCAGATTTGCTGAAAATTGCTCCTCACAAAGAACACTTTTTGTATGTGTAATTGTACATACAGGTTTTGTACTTTAATGTACTATGGTTCTGATGTTGATAGCGATTAAACCCAGATAATTTTATAGCAAATGCATGTCTCTGGCTGATTTTTTGCACGGGGAGAAAAGCACATCGAAGGTCTCTTCCCTGAAGTCATTCTAATAATGGTTTCATTGTGTGAGCAGGTGCGAATAGCTGGAAAAAGCCCTTTGTTAATGAAGAATCTGGGGACCGGTTCACTAACTCCCAAGTCTATTCTAATGCTATCATTTTTTTGCAGTTAGAAAAAAACATAGACAAAAGCTCCTCTGACACAAACCTGTCATTCCACTAACTAAATGCTGCATATTCTGTTCCCTGAGTTTTCTTCACTTAGTTTAAATTAGAAAATGCATACATAAGTGTTTGCACCTAGCAGGCCCTCGATAAATGTAGCTCCCATTTCTTTCTTGGTTTTAGTATGCTGACACCCAGTGGAAGTATTATGACAGCAGTGCATGAGTTTTATAAGAGCGAAACTGTCTAGGCCTAAATCTCACTCATGTGCGGCCCAACCTTGTAACTTTGGGCAGGGTTACCTCAGAAGGATGAAAATAAAAACATTAATACTTACCTTCTAGGGACATTGAATGAATTTGATGAGCCAAAGTCTTAGAAAATTGACAGATTTTTAAGTGTTTTAAGTTATTAGAGTACAATCTAATAATAAATCTTGACTCTTATGCCTACCAAGTTTATTTTTTATTTTTTTAATTTTATTTTATTGAGAAAAAATATGAATGAGACAGTTGCAAAGCTGATTAATAGGGCATTTTCAATAATTAATACCTTGTACATTGTTATCTTCTTAGTGCTTATCCATAGTACAAGAAGTAGACAGGATATCCTGTCCAAATACTGTTAGTACAAATCTTTCTTATTGAATTAAGTGAAAGTAGCTGTGTATCTATCCTAACTATTCTGTATGTACAAATACAAAATGGTCCTTCCTTTGTATCCCCTTTTTTTGTTTAGTCCTGTCAGAGATGGGTATTCTATTGGCATTTAAATACTATAGGTGTGTGAATTCGGCAAAACAATCCAGCACAGTCCAGCAGTCCACAATAGTAGTGGGTTATCTGCAGAAGTTGTTGACTAGAGCTGCCTACCAAGTTTAACTGTGGAGTGTTTATTTTTGATCTAAGTATATACTGGGAATGGTAATTTAGAGGTCCTTCTGAGATATGTCCTTATTGCTTCTCCTCCATCCCATCTGGCATGAATGCTAAGTCCTGAGGTGCAGTTCCCCTGGGAACAATGACACAGGGCATGTCCTGTCTAATAAAAAGGAGTGCTGTGGAGGAGGAACATGAAGGCTGATGAGGAAGGGCCAGGCACCGGACACTGCATTTGTGTATCTTCCTCCTGTGAGGCTTACTCTTGGAAAGCACGGAGCTTATTTACTTCCCAGGCAAAGCATTACACAGCGCAAACAGCACAAACCTCCTCCCTTTCTAGTACATAAAACAACCTCTCTTTTCCTTCTCACAATATGTGCTGTTTGCGCTAATTCATAATTGAAAGTTTTCATTCTGGAAGAGTCAGAATACACCAGTTAATCTATATGTGTGTGGCTAAAACCAGTCCCATTGTCCATTGGTCGGGAAAGTTGGTCCAGTAAGGGTCTAATGAATTGGGGTCATTCAAAGATTGTAGTTATCAGCTGTGTGGCTAAAGGTCTCAATCACTTTACAGCTTCAGCTGGTTAAAACCAGTTCCAGGTGGAGGCTTGGGGGATCCAGCAGGCTATGATAGTAGTGGGGTTAGTTTCCTGTGTACTGGGAGGCTTCCAAACTTGGAAGGAAGCTGGCTTTCACTGGGCGACTTGTCCAATGTGTCCTGTGGATAAGCAGTCTGTGAGTTGAGGCAGAGCCTTTGGCTCCCTGGAAACTTGTGTAGTGTGGACTCCAGGAAGAGATAATTACACTAGTTCCTCAAAGGCCAGGTGGGGCTCTTTCCCATCTTGCAAGATGGCGGGCGAAAAAACTGAGAAGCCAGCCACTATAGAGAAGAAACCCGAAGCCAAGGAGGCTGCTGCCAGTGGCATTGTTAAAAAAAGGTAAGGTGCAGGCAAAAAAGCTTCAAGAAGGGGCAGCCCCACTGCAGCTGAAATCCTGTCGTGTTTAGAGGAATTGGTAGATATTCCTGATGTGCTATGTATTTCAGAAAGTCTTTGTACAAGAGAAAGTACACAGCTGCTAAATCAAAGGTTGAGAAGAAAAAGGAGAAAGTTCTTGCTACGATCACAGAACCAGTCGGTGGGGACAAGAATGGTGGTACCCGGGTGGTTAAGCTTCAAAAAATGCCTACATACTACCCTACTGAAGATGTGCCCTGAAAGTTCTTGAGCCACAGCAAGAAACCCTTCAGTCGGCACGCGAGGAAACCTCGAGCTAGGGTCACTCCTGGCACCATCTTGATCATTCTCACCAGGCAGCACAGAGGCAAGAGAGCGGTCTTCCTGGAGCACTTGGCCAGCGGCTTGCTACTTGTGACTGGGCCTCTTAGCCTTAATCGTGTTCCTCTACGAAGAACACACCAGAAATTTATCATTGCCACCTCTACAAAAATTATATCAGCAAAGTAAATATCCCCAAACACCTCACTGATGCTTATTTCAAGAAGAAGAAGACGCTATGGAAACCCAGACACCAGGAGGGTGAGATCTTCAACAGTGAGAAAGAGAGATACCGGATTTCAGAGCAGCGCAAGGTGGATCAGAAAGCGGTGGAGTCACAGATTTTATCAAAAATCAAAGCTGTTCCTCAGCTCTGGGGCTACTTACAATCCATTTTTACTAGGACAAGTGGAATTTATTTTCATAAATTAGTGTTCTTAATTTCTTACTAAGAACCTACTTCTGTAATATTCCTTATACTTATAATTTCGTCTCTTTTTTTTGGTAGTACCAAGGCTCAAACTCAGGACTTTGTGCTTGCCAGGCAGGCACTTATTCCATTGAGCTAACTCCCCAGCTCCAAGAACCTAATTAAATAATGGATATATTAAAAAGGTCAGGTGGGGCCAGTGGTGCCCAAAACAAGAGGTCAAATCTAGGTCTGACCAGCCTGAGTGAGGAATGGAGCACACTGCGTGGCCCTGAGGCCCTCTGTCCTTCACCATGAGCCACCTGTGCGGAGTGAATAGAATTCTCTCTCTCTTTTTTTTTTTTTAATTTTATTTATTTATTTATTTGAGAGAGAGAGAGAGAGAGAGAGAGAGAGAGAGAGAGAGAGAGAGAGAGAGAGAGAGAGAGAGACCAGCTCAGCCCACCAGGGGGCAGGGCTGGCTGGCATGTGGTGCTGGGGGATTGAACCGCGGTCCCTGATGCTTTTGCTAAGCTTGTTCTAAGTAGGTGCTTTAGACCACTGAGCCATCTCTCCAGCCCGAATTCTCTCTCTTTAAACAAAGGAATGACCCCAAGTTGCTCCTTCAAAGGGAAGTGCTTGAAACATTGATAACTTTGTTTTTCACCCTGCTCCTCAGTACAGTACAAACTTGAAGGAAAAATAGCTTGGTGATAGGGAATAAAGAAGCCACATTCCCCTCGCAAAACTGAGTGGTAGGGTGCAAAACTGTGATTCTGCTATATACATATAATTTAATATTTATATGAAAACATTTAAACTTAATGTTCAGTAATTTGAAGGAGAACAAACCATTAAATTCTCCTTAAGTGTCTTTATCATGTATTTCCATCCCAGCCCTCTATCTAATCCTCTTACATGGCTATAAAACTGAGAATGAGCCTGGATTCCTCAGTCACCTACACGTACCCCTTTCTGGCCCGACTCAGGCTTCGGGTTGCCAGACATCAAACCTTTCAGATTTTCCCCACTCCTAGAAAGCTGCTTTCATTTTAGTTTCTTCCTCTGAAACTAAACCAAGAGGAAGAGAAAGAGATGACATCTCCCACACTAAAACTGGGATTTTTTTTTAACTGAGGTTTTAGGCACCATGTCCTTCTGCTTGAAAAGTATAATTGATATGTAAGCCCCTTCTACCCACGTGACTCTTTCCAGCCCTCCTTCTCCACAGAAGGATGACTTTTTCCCTCTTCAGGGTTCTGTCTTAGACTGGAAACTGCAGTACAGTCGTGTGACCTATGAGCAATAGCTATAGGACGTAGGTACTGAGCCGAGGTTGCCCCCACATGGGGCCTCAACGCCTGCCTGCTCTCATACAGCACTTAGACCAGGCTGTCACTCACGCAGGCCCTTCAGAAATGGCTTCTTAATGAGATTTAAAGTTATTTTGAACAAAGACTAATAGCATGTTAAAATGTTTCCATCACAATCTCACTAAGTGGAGGTATCTGCTTCCCATACTTTCATCTTTTCTTGTGTATTTATATCCCTAGGTAATAGAATTTTTCTGGAACAAGGTCAACAGCAGCTTAATTTAACTTGACTGACCTGTGAAAACTCCCTGTTGTTTGAACATGAGATGCTTTCCTGGCCCTTCTTCATCTGAGGGAGTGCTTACTCAACTTTTCCAAAGAGTCTTTAAGAATCATGGCTTTCTTTGAGGTTTCAGCCTCAGGGTCCGTGTCCTCCCCACAAGAGCAAGTGATTTCAAGTACTTTATGCCTGCTGCTTGGGTGGTTCTCTAAGACTCTCACTTGATTCCCCAGAGAAGATGGAAAATGACTGCCCACCTTCATTTGTGCTTCGAGCTCTGTCATAGTCTAGAATGCCACTGATATATGCCCCTGCTAAAGCAGGGAAGTCGTACAAAATGGGGTTTTCTTCATGAGAGTCTGGGATTAAATAAGATGTATTTTTGGTCTTATGGTAGCTACAGTGGTCAAATATTCTGAATTTCAATAATAGTAAAAACATTTTTGAAGAATTTGTGTCAGGCACCATCGGATGTATTTTATGAAGGACACAGTATTGTCATTCCAACATATAATATATGAATTAAATGAAACTTGAAAATAGAAGTTAAGTATCTTGCTAAGATTATATAGCTGGGAAGGATGGAGCTGGAATTGGGATCCAGGTAGTTGGACCTCAGAATCTGGGCTTTTAGCCACATTGTCTCTGGAT